TGTGCACAATCAGCTTGTAACACTCCAAAGAGAAAGGAAAACTTGAAATCGCATCATATGACCCCTTTAAAACAAAAGCCCTAGACAGTAGCCAAGTGTAGTGTGAGAGTGTGATGCACACTCTGAGAGACCCTGATTCTGTTATTTTAGTATTATTTATAGTATTTAATAATATTTAATATTAAAATAGTTTTTTTATATATATTTTCAGTTTTCAATTGTAATTTTTGTTCAGTTTTAGTAATTTTGTTAAGTGCTTTTAATATTTAAATTTAGCTTTAATTTATTTTATTTCAGTTTTAGTTTTCCTTAAACTTAAAAAAACTAATAATTAGAAATATTTTAAATATAAATTAAATATAATATATAAATTATTTTGTTTTTGAGACAATATTTGAGTGCTTCCATCCATCCATTTACACATGCATCCATCCAATAATTTATCCATCTATCCATCTTTTTGAGACAATATTTGAGTGCTTCCATCCATCCATTTACACATGCATCCATCCAATAATTTATCCATCTATCCATCCACCTATTCATTTTTACATCTATCCATCTTTTTGAGACAATATTTGAGTGCTTCAGTTCAGACACAAACTTCTGAATAATGAAGTGGAAAATCTCTTGGGCCTTTTTTCCACTTCACTCATCTTGACTGATCAGATTGTTATCCGATTTGGTGCACACTCCATTTACACTTGGCCTCCACACAACAGAATCTTACAAATCCTGTGCTATTGTATGCAGATATAATGGAATTTTCTTCACGCTAATGCCAGTCAGCAAAATTTCCTGTTGAATGCTCTCTTTGCATGGTAATTAAGGGCTTAAGGTACATCCGTGTCTCTCTCATCAATCATTACTAATTAACATGTGGATTGTGAGGCTCCCAAACTTCCACTGCTGCTGACGATGCTCCATCTGGTAGGAGTAAAGTTTACATATCTGTCCAAACAACCAGATGCATTTACAGTTGGCAGAGTCAGACCTTGTATACGTGACTGGACTGCTATCCATCTCAAATGTGTCTTGGGACCCTCTGACTTTAGACAATTGTTATAAAGTTTGACCCACTTTGCAGCTTATTCTAGCCAATAAGTACACTCAAAAAAATGAACAAGGAAGGTTGTGCACTTTACATAATATATTTATATTCAGTTTACTTATAATAATTGTCTTTGTTGACTTTAAATGTTTTTTTCTATGAAGGTCCACGTAATTATGTCTCAACTTAGCTGTACAAAATCCTAACGCGTTGTCTAAACACAAACCATTTATGTTAAGTAAAAAATTCTTACATCCAGAGGGTGGACTGGCGTGAGCCAATAGGACTTCAGGAAAGGTTGGAAGGGAAGGAGTTCCCATAGCGGAGAAACCTCCACGATGTCTCATTCCATCTCTCAGGGAACCAAGGTTATGATAGTAACCGGAGACGTTTTACTTTATTTTGATAAAAAAAAAAAAAAAAGAAAAGAAAAGAAAAAAAAGGGTAGCATACAAAGTGAAAGACACTCATTGTTCTTTATAGCAAATTTGTACAGTGGTGAAAAACTTTGTTAATCTAAAAAAAACTTTGAAAAGGTTTAGAATAGACTGTAAAGGTTTTGAACAATCTACATTTTTTGTCCGCTTCATGTGGAAACATCAAGGATTTAAATTCAAATTGTGTGCTCTTTGTAGAAAACATTTGTGTATGCTTGTAAATCATTAGTTTACTTTGAATAGACATATGTAACATGCAACTTCTAAACAAATTTTGTTAGTCCATATAACATAACTGACTTTAGTTAGTTAAACTCAAACGTCTCTTGTTGAGCAAAAATGAGTGATAATAGTTGGCTTGAGTCAAAAATATTATTTCTCCCTAAAACAACCCCATTAAGTTAGATAACCTTGAAATATTTGTTTTCAACTTTCATAATTAAATTTTGTGGAACCTGTTGACAAGAAAAAATTAATTAAAGTCAAGGTTTCATTTTTTTGAGTGTATCCACTTAGACCATTTTCCCAACATACAAAGTGCCCAATCATTTGTTTGACACCTGGTCACCAATCAAATAGCTATTTGTGTTCGCAATATGCATCAGACAGTTTGTGGACTGATCATGGCTGTGTGGGAATGCTGTTGTGTGCATTAGCTTTGTACTGCACATGTGAACTCACCCTTGTGGAAGGTGGGATTGCTGTCCTGTAGGAGGCGGCTGAGCTGGTGTCCATTGATCTGGAGGAGGCGCAGCTGTTCTCGGAGCGATAACTCCTCAACCACTGCTGGAATCAAATGGCCCACGCTGTTCTTGGAGATGGGTAACCCCAGACCCAGTGCGAGGGTGGGGGTCAGATCCACCTGCTCCAGGACGCCCGGCTTCTCAAATCCCACTACAAGAGCAAGATACGTGTCATTAACTGCTCACTGGCTTTAAGACTTACATCACATTTCTGTCCATGACATGCACTTTATGGAGTTTTACAAGAAAGTCAGTTCTCTTATTTCAGCAAAATGTGAATAATCATCTATCTATCCATCCATCCATCCATATATACATCATCCATCCATTTATACACCCATTGATCCATACATCTATTCCTCAATACATCTATCCATCCATCCATCTATAAATATATGCATCTATCACCCATCCATCCATTTACATATACATCTATCCATCCATCAATTTATATCCATCCATCCAAACTTTTCCTACTACTTTCGTTCTCATTCCAGCACTATTCTGCAAACTGACATCCAAAAAGATGACATATTTACATATTAATTCATGAATGCTGATTACTTCATCTCTGGCAGGAAGTTGATGACACTCAATTAAAATTATTTATACACGCTAAATCTATAATATATTCCTCACAGACAGACATCAGCATTTGATTAAGTCAGTGTTTCCTGTGTTGTGCTGACGAATCTGTAGCGCTAACTCAAAAATGCATCTAGAATTTAGCTGAATGGTGTTGCATTGCTTTTGCGTTGTCCTCGCTGGCTGTGCACAAAAATAATCATGCAGATCCTTTACAAAAATCTTAAATCAATTGTTAAATCTGACTGAATTGAGTCACTGGTCTGAATGGTTCCAAAGACTCAATTTGCAATGCAAAAATCCAAAGGAAATACGAAGATGATCCAGGTTAAGTTTATGCGTATACA